TTGTTACTTTAGTCTTCCGAGTTGGGCAGACACCCGCTACAGAACAGGGATACTCCTTGGAGTACGCATCTCTTGTTACTTTAGAAAACAAGTAGTTCTCTCTTAGTCTGTTGTTTTATAAGTGACATGACGATTTTCAGTTCAATGTCACATCTGTTCATTCACCAGATTTTCCCCTTTTTCATTTTACATGAACATCCCATTTGTATGGTATTTCAGTAGATTCTTTAGGATGCCTCCCGGAAGCAAAGACAGATCTTGGCGTGTTAGACTTCTAAGCTACCAACCCTACCACTTAGGTCTCGGAGCATGTTGGTGGACAGTACTTTCCTTGAGGAACACAGTGAGATCCCGGACAGATGGGTGTGCAGGCCAGTAGCCTTCCACCAGGAGGGAAATGTGGAGGCAGGACACTGTGCAAAGTAATTTGTGCGTGCTGGGGTGCCACACAGGGCCCCCGTGTGAAGCAGGTCACAGGGCAGGCTCTGTCGTGCCCCGAAGGTGCCCTCACGCATCTCTGATGATTGGAAACCAGGCGCTCCCAGAAGGCTCTGCAACAGGATCGACATCAGTATTTGGAAGGGCTGTGGCACTGGTGTGTGGAAAGTCTGAGGAGACGCTCAGAGCCAGATCCTGGTATGTTTGCAGGGTAATTACTGTGATCGTCGCCCTGATAAGCCCCCGGTTCCCTGTTGGGGCCAGATTCCTTGTGCCTCTGAATCTGTCATTTAAAATTTCATTAGTCTTTCTGTTCTCTTCAGTAACACTCTTTCCTTTGTAACTATGGGAACCCGCTGTTTCCATTGACAATTAGAGAAACTAGGTTTGGGTTTGAAGTTAAATAATACTCTAAAGCAGCAAGCAGCGTATTAAAAAAAAAAAAAAAAACAAACAAAACTCTGTTACATTCTGGTGTCACAATATTGGCTGAATTGTGTGCATACCAGAAGCTTGTAAAAACACAGCCGTACGGCTCTGGGCATTGAATGATGAGTTTCAACAGACAAGGGCACTTAAAACTGGCACATTTCAGTTATTCTGCTCTTAAGGTTCTTCTGATGATTAAAACAGGTACATGTATAATTATTTTCCCTTTTTATATTTCTACATATTAATCGTAGAAAGTTTTTGGATCTAGTCCATTAATTTTACAGTTGAGGAACCAATAATTAAGGAAGCTCAGGGTTTTCAGGGTTGTTTTTGCCTAAGTTATTGCTACACTATAGCAAAATAAATTCGAAATTTGAAGTAATTACCCACATAAAGCAGGAAGAAAAGCAATCTGTGCAGATCAGAAAAACTGGACAAATTTTTAAACAACAATAATTGCTAATGATTAGTAGTAATTACTGATAACTACAAGTAATTATTATTAATTACTATTATTTACAGATTGACAGTTATTATTTGCAGATTGGGCTGAACTCACCATGTAATCACTCAGCTTTGCACTTAACCTCACCTCTGCTGACACAGGTGAAATATCTCCTTGCTCAGGGCTGATACATATATTTATGTATTCCTCTGAGGATAATGTCTCCTGTACCTGACTGACTTAAAGAGGGGCAAAGATAGGATTCAGTCTTTCCGACACCATAGACAGTATTTCTGAACATGCAGTCCTACACTCCTCACAGTAATAGCATATCCGTCTTAATCTGGAAATAGGGTATAGTTACTTGGTCCAAACCTGACACTTCAGCATACATATGCATGCAGACACGCGTAGGCGTGACATACGGCGGGTCATGGCATGTACATCCTAACTGAGCACAGGTGACGCGTTTAGTTACTGAATTTTTCCATTTACTTACTGTGAAGTTTTCACGTACCTACCCTGTTTATAGATATTCTTTAGGGCGCTATAGTCAAATTCACTTTTGTGGGCAGACCAAGTAAAGGGCACATCGGTGTACCATCCACTTATGAAAAGCCACATCGTTCCAGATAGTCCAGAAGCATAGCTCTCTCCTAACCACGTCCCATCAGGGTTGCCGTATGATTTTACAGCCGTGGGCCAGCTCATGGCTGCAGGTAGGTCTCTAGCTCGTAGGCTATGGTCTGTAGGCTCAAATGGTTCATGGATTTAGAACTGTGCCCAATCCCATCCTGGAAGGTGCAGGTCAAATGAGAGGCTGTAGCAGTGTGAAAGGGCCAGGATGCTTGAGAGGGGCACACAGTGCCTTTCCTTTTGTCACAACGCAAGACATAGTGGTATGCACTGCTAGCCAAGGTCACACCTCCACCGTCACCCCCACCCAACCCATCACTCGCCTGGGCTCAGAGTAAGTGCTGGTGGGCAGGCTGACGGTGGCACCGCTTCAAACCCAGTAGCTGCTTCAGGAAAGGAGAAAATTTGGCAAAGGAGTGATCGACCCCTGGGCTTGCTCACATGGGCGATACTTTGGCAGTGGTCACACTTCCTGGTGCCCCCCAAACTTCCTACTGGCAAGGCTGTGGAGCTGGGAGGGGAAGCTGTACCGACCAGCCCGAAGGAGAAGTATCTAACGGTGCTATCAAACCCAAGGGAGTCATCCCCGCCAGTCCCTCCAAAGGGGTGGGGATCTCTTCCAGTTTGCTACTTCCTATGGCTCCTTCCACTGGCTGAACACGATCATGGCAGTTTTATCATCCACACCAAGGTGTCGTAGGCCCTTTGGGATGCTATAACAAAACACCAAAGGCTGGGTGCTCATAGACTACAGGACTTTACTTCTCACACTCATGGAAGCTACAAGCCAAGATCTAGACGCTGGCACATTCAGTGTCTTCCGGGAACGTGCTTCCTGGTTCGCACACGGCCGTCTTCTCCCTGTGTCCTCCCAAGGCAGACGGGGTGAGGGAGCTCTCTGGGGTCTCTTTTAGGAGTGCCCTTCAGTCTGGACCGTTTGTGTCAGCCTTTCTTTGACTTCGTGGCACGGGGAGCGTCAGTGGGAGTGTGGAAGGTAACAGGTCTGTTTCTCTATGACTTTCCTAAGGCTGCTGTAACCAATATCACAAACTGGGTGGTTGCAAACAGCAGGAACTTACTCGTTCACGGTTCAGGAGGCCAGAAGTCTAAAGACCAAGGTGTAGGCCATGTTGGTTGTTCCTGGAGGCTCTGAAGACAAATATGCTCCCTTCCTCTCTCCCACCTTCTGGTGGCTGATGGCCGGTCTTCGGCATTTCTGGCCTTTGGTCTCATCCCTCCACCATCTTGTCTTCCCATGCGCTTCTTCCCTGTGCACGTGTCTGTGTCCTCACTATTCCTTATAAGGATGCCAGTCTTTGGACTTAGGGACCACCCTAAATACAGGATGAGGCCGTCTTCACATTCTTTTATTTTTTTTTTTTTAAGATTTTATTTTTAAGTAACCTCTACACCCAACATAGGGCTCGAACTCAGAACCCTGAGATCAAAAGTTGCATGCTGTACCAGCTGAGCCAGCCAGGTGCCCCTCATTTTGATACTATTAGCGAATTATATCTGCAAAGACCTACTTACAAATAAGGTCACATTCTGAGGTTCTAGATGGACAGGACTTTGGGAAGTCACTATTCCACTCACTACAGTTACTTTATAGGATTTTCCTGAGCTTCAGTGTATCTGATATTTCCTTCTCATTGGCAGGGACATCACAGATGTCATGCTGCCTCTTTTTTTTCTTTTATTAAATATAATTTATTGTCAAATTGGTTTCCAAACAACACCCAGTGCTCGTCCCAACAAGTGCCCTCCTCAATACCCATCACCCACGTTCCCCTCTCCCCCACCCCACATCAACCCTCAGTTTGTTCTCAGTATTTAAGAGTCTCTTATGGTTTGCCTCCTTCCCTCTCTGTAATTTTTTTTCTCCCCCTTCCCCTCCCCCATGGTCTTCTGTTAAGTTTCTCAGTATCCACCTATGAGTGAAAACATATGGTATCTGTCTTTCTCTGCCTGACGTATTTCACCTAGCATAATACCCTCCAGTTCCATCCAC